TAAAGTGTTATTCCAAAACGTCCCTTACTCATCATAGAATAAGGTTTACAGGGACATCGGAATAGTGAGCCCAAAATAGTATTGCAGTGTAGATGCACCTAAATGCTCTACCTATTGTGATGATGAATTCATGGTCAAATAAATCATCAGCAGACAGGATGTGGCATAGCAGTAAAGCATGGTAAAGCCTTTAAAATAAGATACATGAGTTAATGCAATGTCTTAAATACATTTGCAAACATTTAAAAATGTATACAGTATTTAACAAAAAGCTATTGTATATTTATCCATCCAAGTAAAATATGAGAAGATAATTAATTAATGTTAAATCCTGGCATAGGCATTTTGAATTGGTTCAGTTGTAGCCAGTGTATATTCTGGCGTGGAAGGACTCCAGAGAGAGTTGCTTTAATCCATCTGAAATGTAACAAAAGCCTACAGAAGCAATACTTTGGTCTCCCGAGAGCAGTAATAACACAAACTTGCAGTGCTTTGGAGAAGATAAATTGCCAGCCTACTTCACCCTGCTGACCAAGCCCACCAAAAGTAACTTTCCAGTGAGGCATTAGGACTCAGACAGTTATGAGAGATATGAAAGCTCGCGTGACTGAAACAATTAGTAAGCACTGACCTTCCTTTAAGTTGATCATAGGAGACAGTACTGTATGTGCAGCAAATATGAGTGACATTTGAGCATATATATATACATAAGACCTGAAACAATGCCAGACTGTTCTATGTGCAAAAAGAAATAGAACAATAGCCAAAGGGAAGATGATGACAGTTCAGAAATTATGAAGACAAATAGAGGAGGCTACTTATTGGATACTTACTGGTTTCAGTTTGTGCTTTTAAGTATAACTGCAGTTTATTGTTAGAAAGTTTGTAATTTTCTCTATTTGTACAGATGTGCAAATTGTCAGTGTGTTATTTCATGACAGTTACTGGATTTAATAAAATATTTAATATTACTGAATGTACAGGGAACATCCAGTTTCCTCATTTGATTTGTGACAAAGCAATGGATAAAAGAGACCACAGAGTTTTGAAATTCCTTTAACTCTTAGGAACTGGATAAATGTTTGGATAACATTTGGAAACTAACTAATTTTGACTGGTTGCGAGAAGGCTGCAAATGTGTGCAGGCCAAAGTATGAGACAGGATATCTTAGGGTATGTCTACACTACCCCGCTAGTTCGAACTAGCGGGGTAGTGTAGACATACCCCCACAGAGGCAAAACAAGGTGAGTGTGGACTAGCTTTAGCCCTGATTCCCATACTAACTCAGGGTATGTCTACACTACCCCGCTAGTTCGAACTAGCGGGGTAGTGTAGACATACCCCCACAGAGGCAAAACAAGGTGAGTGTGGACTAGCTTTAGCCCTGATTCCCATACTAACTCAGGGTATGTCTACACTACCCCGCTAGTTCGAACTAGCGGGGTAGTGTAGACATACCCCCACAGAGGCAAAACAAGGTGAGTGTGGACTAGCTTTAGCCCTGATTCCCATACTAACTCAGGGTATGTCTACACTACCCCGCTAGTTCGAACTAGCGGGGTAGTGTAGACATACCCCCACAGAGGCAAAACAAGGTGAGTGTGGACTAGCTTTAGCCCTGATTCCCATACTAACTCAGGGTATGTCTACACTACCCCGCTAGTTCGAACTAGCGGGGTAGTGTAGACATACCCCCACAGAGGCAAAACAAGGTGAGTGTGGACTAGCTTTAGCCCTGATTCCCATACTAACTCAGGGTATGTCTACACTACCCCGCTAGTTCGAACTAGCGGGGTAGTGTAGACATACCCCCACAGAGGCAAAACAAGGTGAGTGTGGACTAGCTTTAGCCCTGATTCCCATACTAACTCAGGGTATGTCTACACTACCCCGCTAGTTCGAACTAGCGGGGTAGTGTAGACATACCCCCACAGAGGCAAAACAAGGTGAGTGTGGACTAGCTTTAGCCCTGATTCCCATACTAACTCAGGGTATGTCTACACTACCCCGCTAGTTCGAACTAGCGGGGTAGTGTAGACATACCCCCACAGAGGCAAAACAAGGTGAGTGTGGACTAGCTTTAGCCCTGATTCCCATACTAACTCAGGGTATGTCTACACTACCCCGCTAGTTCGAACTAGCGGGGTAGTGTAGACATACCCCCACAGAGGCAAAACAAGGTGAGTGTGGACTAGCTTTAGCCCTGATTCCCATACTAACTCAGGGTATGTCTACACTACCCCGCTAGTTCGAACTAGCGGGGTAGTGTAGACATACCCCCACAGAGGCAAAACAAGGTGAGTGTGGACTAGCTTTAGCCCTGATTCCCATACTAACTCAGGGTATGTCTACACTACCCCGCTAGTTCGAACTAGCGGGGTAGTGTAGACATACCCCCACAGAGGCAAAACAAGGTGAGTGTGGACTAGCTTTAGCCCTGATTCCCATACTAACTCAGGGTATGTCTACACTACCCCGCTAGTTCGAACTAGCGGGGTAGTGTAGACATACCCCCACAGAGGCAAAACAAGGTGAGTGTGGACTAGCTTTAGCCCTGATTCCCATACTAACTCAGGGTATGTCTACACTACCCCGCTAGTTCGAACTAGCGGGGTAGTGTAGACATACCCCCACAGAGGCAAAACAAGGTGAGTGTGGACTAGCTTTAGCCCTGATTCCCATACTAACTCAGGGTATGTCTACACTACCCCGCTAGTTCGAACTAGCGGGGTAGTGTAGACATACCCCCACAGAGGCAAAACAAGGTGAGTGTGGACTAGCTTTAGCCCTGATTCCCATACTAACTCAGGGTATGTCTACACTACCCCGCTAGTTCGAACTAGCGGGGTAGTGTAGACATACCCCCACAGAGGCAAAACAAGGTGAGTGTGGACTAGCTTTAGCCCTGATTCCCATACTAACTCAGGGTATGTCTACACTACCCCGCTAGTTCGAACTAGCGGGGTAGTGTAGACATACCCCCACAGAGGCAAAACAAGGTGAGTGTGGACTGGCTTTAGCCCTGATTCCCATACTAACTCATTGCTATAAGAAATACCCACCCTGTGTGCTTGATGTCCACTTTCCTTGGACATGATCTTTCAATCAGACCCCAGGGTAGAAACTGGTTGCTTGGGGAAAGCCAGCAAGCTAGAAGTGGGGCTTGTGACAGTGAATTGATCCCCTAGTATACTAAGTAGGTGAGATACTCACCAAAGGACGTCAGAGGTAGGTTTGCCATATTGTGGCTGAGATGCAAGTGAGCAGGGAGAGCATCTGTAGAAGATGGTAGGACTCCAGTTGGAGAAAGAGAATATTTCTGTTCAGTCATTTACACCAGTGCATAATGTGTGTAAATTACTATCGACCTGGTAACATTTCAAAATATATATTGGCTCAGCAGGTACCAAATTGATCTATGTCCATGGAACGTCAAAATGATACTTATGAAATTATACCAGTGAATCACTGGTTTGTAAACAGGAAAATAAGATCAATCCACTGCCAATGAAATAAGGCTGACTGATTTTTGTGTCCTATATAGTGCATGGAAAACACTGCTGTTATAATCAGTTAATTTGCAGAGCTTTCTTAGCGATCCAGCATGCAAATTTAGCAAAACTGGACAAAATGCTGGACAAAAGCCTTTTACAATTGTAATTTGTCAAATATGCAAATATATTTTACATTCTCTAGAGCACTTGGGAATAATGGAAGTGGGAATAGTTATTTAGATGATGAGGATGTAGAGTGCGGAAACCCAAGTGGAGGAACCTTAGGATCAATGAAGCACTGGGAAACTGGTTTGAGCTGAATTTTATCTTGCTGTAAATGTCTGTGTTAATATCACCGAATCGCAGAAAACTGGAGAGTTACTACCATTGTGTTTTAGTTATGATGATATATGTCCTGAATTAAACATATAGTATATCTGGATCCAGTTTCACAGTCATGGGAATAGTTGAAAGAAATTAATTTTCAAGTACTGTCACAGTCATGTAGGGATCTTAAATTTCTCATCTCAAATTTGTATCAGACCTTAGATTTTGTACAAACAAGCTGTTACCAAATGTGCATTAGAAATGTTTTTTTGTTTTTTCCTTTCCCCCTATCTCAATTCCAGCTGATGCAGTCACTTTTAAACAAATGTTTTGTTTACTCTCCTGCAAGGTTAGCAGTTATAACATTGAAACTGAAAGGGAGTCATATTTCAGTTGGCTGTCGTACAAAATAAGGGAAATGTAAAAAAACCAACACAACAACCCAGAGTTTACCTAGGGAAAAATCAAATTTAATTTTATAATCTAAACCAGGGGTGTTGAACCTTTTTTGGGTCGGGGGCTGTTGACCTGCAGAAAAATCAGTTGGGATCAGTCGGGGAGGTGGCAGGGGGGTGGGGTGGAGTGCCAGCATGGGCTCCCCAATGCTAGGGGAGGCCCTAAGCCTTGGGGGCCAGATCCAGGCAACCCAGGGGTTGCATGTGGCCCCTGAGCCTTAGGTTCCTCACTCCTGATCTAAACTGTTGTTGGTAACATAGGTACAATAATATGAGGCTAATTCTTGACATGAAGAACTGACCCCTAATTTTTAATTGTGTACCTTTTACATTCTTAAAGAAATCTTTAAAGGAATGAGTACAAAGCTCTTTTTTCCACAAAGAAATGTAAGTAAGATTAGTAAATTATTTGTGCTTATAATACTGTACTTTTATAAGCATTTCTAAAGTTTATTCTGATTTAGTTTCAAATAAAAAGATATATGCTGAGATTCAGAGTAAGAAATATCATCTTAATTATTGATAAGACATTAGGGCTATTTTTTTCAGTTTTTACTTGTGAAATGTGACCTAGCGCCTTTATCAAGTAGAAAGTATAGGTATAATAAAAAAATGTACCAAAAAGAGTAATCAGCTTCTATTAAACAGCATGCAGGGTCCTATAATAAAAACATTTACTTGTTTAATAGCAAAGTTCAAAGGCTAGTAAGACAGGACTTTTACCTGTATATTTTCAGATATGTGGTTGCGGGAGCTGCATCAGATTTTTCCCAGTGATGGCAGGGAGAGGAGGTGAGCTAGACAGAAAATTATATATAATCAGCACACACACATGCACACTCATACTATGCCACCCTTATTTTTCATAGCAGGATAACAGGCCAGCAGCCACCACTCTCTCTTCTCTGTCCTTATAGCTGGATGGCTAGAGATTAGCAGCTGCTGGCCGACCACCCACCTCTGCAGGTAACGCTGCCACCAGCAGCCACCCTCACTTCTACATAGTGCTAGACCTTTTTACTGAGATTGGTGGTTACAGGATGGGGACTAAGGCAAAATATGGGTGACTATTACTCCCAGCATCACCCTGTTTAGTTTATTTTAATTTCATTTCATATTTTTAACCTGTAAGTAGAAAAGTTACACATAAGATGTCTCTCTTTGGACTAGAAAAAGAGGAAATGAAGTAGAATATCAATGGATTCATGTCTCTCAGTTATTTTCAACAGAACCAAATTGCATATTTGCCTATGAGTGGTTGCACTTGCTAGGGCTACCTACATTAAGAAATGCATGGCGCAGGACTCAGTGCAGAACTCTATACTTGGGCAAACTAATGTTGACTTTAAAAAAGACCAACCATTGTTATACAAAAGTGGTTTTGTAGCCAATCAGCCATGGAAGTGCCTTCACTCATATAAAACATAGGGTATTCCATATGCCATTATAGGTTGAAGATGCAGGTATATCGGAAGAATGTTCTCTGAAGGCAGTGGAAAGAAAAATAAAAGGATTGATCTTGGGAGAAGATAGGTGTATGTGTGTGTAACTAACTGGCAATCTGGAAAATATTGGTTTTCTTAGATTGTTTTTTGTGTTCTGTGTAGCTTGGTGCTTCCAAACAGAGGTGCCCAAATCAAGGAGTTCCATGGACATAGATCAATTTGGTACCTGCTGAGCCAATATATTTTTTCTTAAAAGTGCTATAGTTTTTCTTATATACCAGAAGATTTATCCAGCGTTGCTCAGGTACTTAGCTCAATTAATGTTTGTGTTTTGAAAAATAAAATGAAAATGTACATGCTTAATTTAAGTCATTGCTCTGAGGTCGGGCTACAAATGAGGGGGTTAGTATTCAGGCTGCCCAGGCAAAGAAAGAGGACTATCCCAGCCCTCTCTTACTACAGCTTGTGGCCAAGTCAGAAGCACCTCTCTGTGGTTGCAGCAGCTCCAGCAGGCACATCCAGGGGAGGGGTGCATGTCCCGCAACTGGGGCGGGTCCAGGTTCATCTGATCCAGGCACTCCCCAGCCAGAGGGAAGAATGTAGGAAACTGCACTTTCCCCTCGCTCCCTGACAAAAAGGGAACAGACAGCAATATTACCATACAAATCCCTACCCTCCCTAATGGCATCTAGGGGTGGGAGGCATGGGGCTGGGATAATCCCAGATCTGGGGGAGAGCACCCCCCCAGCCAGTCCCTTTCGCCTACCTGGTGATTCTCTTCTCTATTTGGATTCATGAGAAGCAATCCTATTCCAGGCAAATCCCATTTTCCTGGCACAACAAATCCTTACCTTGCTTTAAGTTATGATGAGAGGAAGCTATATACCTAATTTGGCAATCCTAGCCCTTACTGTTTAGGTGGAGGTCTTGAACAAACAGAAAGATAGGGACAGTCAGAGACAAACTCTCTCAGATATATATTAGATTTATTTTCTAGTATTTTAAAATTTAGCTATACAAAAGATCTATTCTGTTAGCTAGCTTCCAATTCTTCATCTTGGCAGGGGTTAAACTAGATTACCCTTGCAGTCCCTTCTTGTTTCACTAAGGTTCAGTTCCAGAGTACAGAAATATCCATAGGAGTATTTCCAATGACTTCAGAAAAATGGATCCTGTAATACTTAGGGCCCAAACCACTTAGACCCATGATTAATGTATGCATATAAGTATTCCTTTTTACTTCAGTAGTAGTAAAGTTAAACCAGGCATAAGTGTTTGCAGAATCTGGATGGTATTGACTAGGAAACCAGAGCAATATGTTCTGCAAATGATTTTCAATGCTGTCAGCCTCTTCCTTAAAAAAACCACACTAATAAGCTCTATATTCTTAAAACAGGTGGTCTATTTTATTATCAAAACAAAACTGAAATATGGAAAAAACTGTGAGTAAAATATAAATTCTAGCTTGACCTTCTTCTACCAGCCTTCTTTTTGTTTTGTAATTAGCATTATGAATAGTGAAATGAATGTAGCGTGACATTTGTTGGTAAAAGGATTGCTAAATTAGCTTGTTTTTATTCAGAGCTTAGGAATTCTCAAGAGATCTGTGGTTAAAAAATATACACACCTCATCATAATAAGTCTTCAGCTTTTTTTATATCTGTTTTCACAATAAAACAGGTTTTCCTAAATTGTGTTACATAAGAAAGTCTGTGATGATTCCTTATAATCTAATTCATCTGGGCCCACATCCTAGCAGCTCAGATGTTGATTTACAACAGCTGAGGATATGGCCCCATTTTTATTTTTTTATCTGTCAGATGAGCTCTAGTTTATAAAGGGACAGGCCACACCATTGCTGATTTTCAAAGCTTCTTCCTAACTTGATTTAGTACATATTAATTTCTTGACAGAAATTCTACGGTGTAAGAGCATAATAAATACCTTTATAGATTACTTTTATACTTTTCTTCCAGTGAATATTCACTTGTGCAATCTGCCAATATTCCCAAGATACTTGAATTCCAGATCACTGTACTGTGTATAACTTCAATACATTATTTATACTCAGTAAATAAGCTTTTATTTTTTCTTGTTTTTAGATGGAGCAGTATTTCTGTGATTGCTTTGGGTTTACATAGCCATTTCCAGAAGTCAAGATTTGAATAAACTAAACTCAGTATTCCATAGAATGTGATATTTAATCACTCACGGAGTGCCTGTACAAACCCTTCTGCACTGCAGAAGTGCTGGTATATAGGATACCAGAGTGATGGGTGGCAGACCAGCTACACTGGCTGGCTCCATGCCGTGGAGGGAGACACTACTGTAGCTCCAAATACATTGGTGAAGAGAAGGCTATTAGGTTTGGACAATAAGAAGAAGGCTACTGGGTCTATTTGTGTAAAATATTTGTGTGAATACTTGTGTGAAAATTACAGCATTTAATCTTTGATGCAGTGAATATTTTGAACAGTGCTCAAAATTTGAGTTACATTCAGTATATTACATGCTGTGTGAGATTATTTCATGGAGTTATTTTGATAATTGAAACACTGGAGTTTTATAGGTCTGTATATTTTTACCGTAAAAGTTGTACTTTCAAAGAGGGAGATATGCAATACTTTTTAGAAAGTGAACTCTTACTAATAATATTATATTTAAACATAATCCATGCAATCAGCAATATCATAATGCTCATATGGTAAATGGGGATTTGTTTCTAAGGACAAAAAGTAATTTGTAAAATAATTGGTCTCAACAGAAAATAATAAAGATGGTCATAAAAAGTAAAGCCCAAGTTAACAAACATCCTTTGTAGAATAATTCAAGTTAATATTGCAGACTCAACCTGTGTATACTATACAGTGGTTTCAGGACTTCTTTCTGCTTATATTAACCAGTGTTGTAAGTGGGATTTTACATTGATGCCCTCCTCATCCAATTTGAAGACAAACAGTATTCATATTAGTTACCCAAACTACACCCTCCAACACTGTATCCATGACACGTGACTCAGTGTGCTTTGTGCAGGTATTCAAAATGTGATTGTGTGTGCTCACTGACTCTACTGAGATCCATGAGCATGACTTTCTCTCAGAGTATATCTATACTGCAATAAAACACCCATAACTGGCCCGTGTCACCTGATTTTGGCTCACAAAGTTCAGTCTATAGGACTATAAAATTGCAGTGTATATGCCCAAGCTTGTGATGCAACCCAATCTGTTGGACCTTCCCTGCTCATGGGAGCCCAGAGCCCAGGGTTCTAGCCCAAGCCTCCCATTAAATTGTACAGATTGGTGATCATCCCTTTCCTCCCCTACAGGAGGAAAGAAGCGGGCAATAACAATGGTAATATTTCCCAGAGGACTAGTCTTATTAGTCTGTATCTACAAAAACAAGTCCTGTGGCACCTTAAAGACTAAGGGTATGTCTATACTACAAAGTTAATTCGAACTAACAGGCGTTAGTTCGAATTAACTTTGATAGGCGCTACACACGGAGGACTAGTCTTATTAGTCTGTATCTACAAAAACAAGTCCTGTGGCACCTTAAAGACTAAGGGTATGTCTATACTACAAAGTTAATTCGAACTAACAGGCGTTAGTTCGAATTAACTTTGATAGGCGCTACACACGCGAACCGCTAGTTCGAACTTAATTGGAACTAGCGGAGCGCTTAATTTGAACTAGGTAAACTTCATTTCACGAGGACTAACGCCTAGTTTGAATTAACTAGTTCGAATTAAGGGCTGTGTAGCCACTTAATTCAAACTAGTGGGAGGCTAGCCCTCCCCAGCTTGCCCTGGTGGCCACTCTGGGCACCACCAGGGAAACTCTTCCCGGGACCAGGCT